ATGTGTGAGAGATGTTGAACTAAGAATAAGGTATCCCTCCTGTGTAATTAAGCGGAATCCACCCGTCTCATTATCGGCTTTTCATTTCAAAGTAGGATTTCAGGATTTTTCAATCTTGAGAATTTCAGCGTTTCATGCGAAAATGCAACCCCCTTCAGTGAATCTATAATTCTACACTATGGGCCGTTTGCACGTTCACTGTATGTCCAGGACATGGGGTTGACATAACTGCATTCTTCATTTGAACATTGCGGAAAATGCGTTTTCGGGGGGTAGGTACCTATTTGAGTAGTTTGTTGCTTGCGTGTAGGGCAATTCCAGCCCCCATACGCGCAGGCGCGGGGCATTTTGCACTTTCGCTGCTTTCCTTTGTCGTATTTGTTGCTTTACAAAAGTTGCGGGTAATCTCTACAGAAGTTGGCAGGTAGTTTCTACAAACGTTGACTGGTATTTGTTCATAGCTTCACTATTTTTCACCTCCATTTAATTTCATTTCACCTCAGCTTCATTATATTTCACTATATTTTATACTTTCACGTAGGAGGTAAGCTATTTACAAAAAGGAGGAAGCCTCGACTGCTAGAAGAGATTTGAATAAACCACGGAGATATCTACGGTACCTCTTGTTAGTAAAACTACACCCACCCTTCGTTGGAGAAAACCTTATATACGGTACGTCAGCCTTAGGAAACGGAAAGAATCGAGTGCTAATTGGATAAAGATATGAAAAAGTGAGAGGTCGTCGGAGAAAGGAGAAAGTGGCTGTTGGTGGGCGTGACTGTCAGAAGTCAACTGTAAGCGAAACGGCGTGAAATTGGAGGTACTTGCAACAATGGCTTGGCTGGATTCTGTGTGTGGGCGAAGCTGTGGATCCGTTGGGCTCGATGGCCATTCTCCAAGACAATGTAGGTTAAGACGGATCTACTCGCGCTCTTCACACTGAAATTGCCGTGACACGCGCCAGCTACGGTGGATTAATCGCCGCCGATTCGCTACTGCTACTTAGTTGTTTAGGGTTGATTTGTGAGGCGGCGTGTGTGTGGGAACCAAAAGGGAAAGTCCGAGTCCAAAAAAGATGTCAGTTTTGTAGACAGTTTGCGATGAGCGTGGGTGCTTCCCAGTAACAAAGGGAATTTCAAATGATGAGCAAGTCGTTTCGCAAAACTTTTCCTGTTTGTGCAATAAGGCAATATTCGAGCTGTGGCAATAGTGTGCAGCGTTTGTGGGAGAATCCCAGCATGGGTCGTCCTTGAGGGAGGGGAGACGTTCGTTGGTCGATGGAGATCCTATTCGGCCCTGATGAAAATTTTCCGCGTTGCAATAACGTACACTGGTGTGCAAAACTTTTTATTTGGTTGGTTGTTTATTTTTCTCTATTTTTTTTTTTTGTTCTTTTTTGTTCTTTTTTTTTTTTTTTTTGTTTTTTTCCGTTTTTACGTGGGACGAGATGGATAAAGTAACATGAAACACTAAATGCACTGGTGGAAGTAATGAAAGTGTGGGAGCATGTTGCCACTCGCCTAAGGGATATGCACAGGAAGCTAGACTTTTCTCGGTGGAAGAAGAGCTTGAATAAAGTGCCAAATATGGCCGACGGCTCAGTCTGAGCAGTGATTCTGGACGCACCCTCATATGGCGAGAGGTGGGAACACGCAACTCCCCGGAAACATTGTCGAACGTGATCGTACTGGTGGTCGAGGTGTTATGGTATGGGGAGGCATCATGTTGCATGGCCGTACTGACCTCCAGATTTTTGAGCATGGAACCCCAGTCAGCGCTTACTGGCGACGCGCGGTTCTCCTACATCAATGTCGTCTTTTCAGAGCTGCAATCGGCCCTGACTTCATTTTCATGGATGACAATGCGCGACCGCATCGAACAGCACAGGTGGAGGAGCTTCTAGAACGAGAGGATATCCGGCGAATGGAGTGGCCCGCCCGTTCCCCCGACCTAAATCCCATCGAGCACGTGTGGGATGCACTGGGTAGACGCATTGCAGCACGACCAAATGCACCAATGACGATCCAGCAATTGTCAAATGCACTGATTGAGGAGTGGGATGCCTGCCCCACCAGGTAACTCATACCAACGCTCGGGGAGAGTGTGGGATGCGCGGTGCAGAGCATGTTATTGCTCGTCGGCGTGTGATCACTACACACCCTATAAGGATCCGTGTAACTTCTTTTGTAGTACCAGGATAAATCGTGAAGACTTATGTGTAATCGACATGGTTGAATAAAATGTCATAACAATTCGTCTTATTCCGAGTTTCTGTCAGTTGCTTTCTGTACAATATCGTTAAGGTTCTCTCTTGATATGATATGAATTTCATCGAGCTATGTTGTCTGGCAGAGGCACAGTGATCGAAAGTTGCTTTCGTCCCTAAGTTTTGCACACCAGTGTACTTACGAATAAAGCGGTAAGAGCACCAGCATCGACGGGACTGTGCGGACAGTTGTGAGCGGGCGGGTGGGTCGGCAAGTACCAGGATGGTGACACGTAATAAGGGTTTTTCGTTGAAGACGCCCAGCAGCGCCTGCCCAGGAGCACCGGATTCTGTCCTGCTAGCAATATTTATCCAAC